AGAGATGGGTCTGCTGGGTCAGATGGTCAGTCTTAACAGCCAGAAAAGGTAAAAAGGTAAAAAGTAACCCAGAGGGGCAGGGGGTTTTTGGGGCTGCCCGAGGCCAAGAAGCTGAACCCAGACCTGACACAGATCATCCTGCAGCCAGACCACCCATTTGGTCTCAAGCACTGGAAGCTGATCAACAGCACAAAAATAAGTGATATCATGAGCCACAGTGTCCGGATGAGATAGCCTACAAGAGATGAGGCCAACATCATGGTTCAACACAGAGCACACACTCCACACCAGGTAGGGCCAGGAAGATGACAGCAGCAAACCTCAGGGGGACTTCAACAAAGCCAGGGCAACTCTCTCTCCTCTTAAATACACCAAGAACTTGTCAAAAACCCATGGGTGTCAGCACAATCCTTTCCATGGATGTCCCAGTGCTGTAAAGGCCCCCTGATGGTGCAGACATCATGTTAACTCACCTCAAATGCACACTCAGCCTTTTCCTGCCCCAGTGCCCACACAGGGCACAGTTACTACGCCAACATGAGCTGTCTGCTGGGTCACACAGACCCCAGACACCCCAGTGCCTGCTACAGGCACTATGTGGCTCTGTTCTGGGCACCCAAGCTGTGCTGGTGCTCAGACAATCCTCTCCTAGGAATGGGAAGAACTTAACCCCGATTGAAGAGGAAAGGAAGCCCCCAGAGCACCCCTAGGTCTGAGGCTCCAGGCTTACTTACCTCTGGAGAGGGATTCCTGGCACACCCCTGCTGCAGGAGAGGCTCTGAGGGCATCCTCTGACCCATCTCAGCTCCAGCAACGTTTGTATCCCTTTTCTGAGTGTTGAGGGAGAGCAGCAAGGAGGTCCTGCTGAGTGAGGAGAATCTCATCAAGCCAAATTCTCCTTTCTTACTGCAGGTGCTGGCATTACACCAGAGACACCTTTGGCCCTGCAGGCTTGACAGCGCCCAGGAGGAAGTCAGTTTTCCTATCTATCATGACATCGCTAAGTGTAATTAATGCAGCCTAATGAGACAACACAGATTGCTGGCAAAAGACAGGCACCAGCACAGCTTGGCACTGCTCCAAGGGCTTTAGACCACTTTTTGGCTCTGGGAGACCTGACCCATCGCACATAAATGGTATCAGCAGCTTTATCAGAGCCTAGAAGCCCAACACCTGCATCACCCTCCTCCCCTCAGACACCAATTAACACCTTTCCCCACCATCCAGAACGAACCACTTGCTCTCCCAGCCCCTCCAAACCCCCGCAGGTGTTCCTGGGAACCACAAGCAGCTTATAGCCCTGAGCAAGCGCTGACCGGCTGAAATCAGTGCAGAGCAATGAAATCAGAGGAAATGACTTGCAAACAGCAGCACTGATTTCAAACAAACCTGCAATTTAGCCCCATTGTTTGGTCTGCTAGACTGGACCTCTGATAGCTTAATTACTTGTCTATTTGCCTTGGGAAGTACAGCTATAATAGTGGAAGATTTACAGCCGCCTCAGGAGTTTCGATTTCATTGTAACCCTTGCCCAGCCCTGCTGGTTCTCAGCCCAGCCCCACTGACCTGCTGCAGTATCTTCCTGAGCTGCCCTTACAACGCTTTTTGGGGAAGACCTGAGCCCTGCCAAACTCATCCCTCCCCTGTAAACTAGGGAGGAGCCAGGATTTCACCTTCTGTTCAATTCTGCTTTCTTAATTTCACTGTAATAACTAACCCCTGCCTTAGCTCTTTCTAACTGAGGAGTCCAGCCAAAGGCACAGCCCAGAGGAAACCCTCCACTACCAAAATGCCTGCAAGGATTTTTCTCTTTTACTAGATTTGCTAAGTCAGGAGACCTGGGAATTATCTGGGTTTATCTTGGTTATCTGAGATGGCAACGGAAGAGAGAGATGAGACAGTGCGTGCTCAAGCAACCAGCACTAAAGGAGCTGCATTAACAATTTTTATATTCAGCCTTCTCTCCTAAGGACAATTTCACCAAAGATGCTAAATCTGCCCATGAAAGCAGAGTCCAAACCAGCCAGATTATTTTTCAAGGCTCCTAGATTAAATAACAGAATCGGCGGTTGGAAATGTCACTGAAGCCCAGGGCAGAGGAGGACTCTGGAAAGGCTCAGAGGTGGCGGTGGGCAGTGAGGTGGGGTGGGAGCTGAGGAAGATCTGTTGGCACCGAATCGTGCACCGAGGGGGCCCTCCGTGCTCTGCTTGATCCAATTACTGCCTCCCCCAGGAGGGCTTTGAGCTTTTCTGTTGAGGCCACCACCAGAGACTAAACCTCGACCCAGAATCTCGCCGGAGATGAGGCAAAAGCAGCGTGTGATCGTGTTGCTCCCTGCTGGGGGGGGGGCTGGGGATGGCTGCCCGCAGGCGGGTGCCAGGCAGGGGCAGCAGGAGCGCAGGTGTCAGCTCATCTCCTGCTGCCGTGTTCTCATGGCCAGCGACTGCCCTGCCACTGCTGGGGCCGCTTTGCTCATCGACACGGGCACCGAGCCGCACGTGAGCGCTCGCTCCAGCCCCGAGTGGGGCTGAGACGAAAAGAGGAACTGATTTGCTCCTGTCAGGGTGCATCACTGGCATTCCTGAGAAGCGTTTCAGCAATGCTTCCTCTCTTACAGAATAGCCTTGCCTTGTGTTTCCCAACCCACTCGCTGCTGAAAGAGGGAGGGTCTCGGCTCAAGAGCAGGACAGGACCCAGCTCTGGCCAGGCAGGACCTGGCTTTCCCCATCAGGTCCCCTTTGCCCAGTCCGTGGCAGGGAGGGCAGTGTCTTCCCAGCCCCAGCCGCCCCGCAGAGACTCTGGTGCAGAGCCTGGTACCTTCTGCTGCCCTTCGCTGCCTCCTCCTCAGGCAGCTGCATTTATTCCTTCCCTCCCGGGGTGTCTGGAGCACCCCAGTGCCTGTGCCCTGTCTGGAGGGTGTTGGGGAGGGCTCTGCGTGGGGATGTCTCTGTCTCTTCAGGGGACCAGGCAGCGGGACTCCGTACCGTGCTCTGCTGCATTGCTTTCTGTCTGAATTGCTCCACTGCCTTTCTGGTTTCATCATTTTCAACCTGACACTTGCTTTAATTGGGATAAATATCGCAGCCCCTTGTGTGACAGAGCCTCTCATGTCAGTGCTCCCCTCGCTCCTGCCCACTCCCATCTTGCTCTTCCTCTCCAGGAGCATGTTCACGGGCTGCTGAGGCAGTTTGGGGCCAAGGCACTGAGCTGGAGCCATCCCCTTTGCAAAACCCTTACCAACATCCCCCATCGCTGCAGCCAGCGCCCTCCTTGGTTCTTGTGCTCAGCAATAAGGAGGAAGAGGAGGCTGACGCTTGGTCAGAGATGTGACCTCCACCCCATCCCTGGCCCTGATGACTCCGAGGTGCCCCAGGAAGAGGTCAGAGCTGTAACCTCCATCCCATCCCTGGCCCTGATGACTTTGAGGTGCCCCAGGAAGGAGGTGGTGCTACAGCCAGTGAGGTCACCCATGTTCCCACAACCCTCAGACTTGTGTGTCTTTATTTTTACCTCCTTGGCACCTCGTTCCCTTCCCTCCAGGTCTTTGCACAGAGTGAAGGGGCTGAAGGGCAGAGAGGGGTGGAGGGAGGATCTGGGGGGAATCCAGCTGCGGGGGGGTCCCATCCTACTCCCCCCAGCCCAGCCTCCCATGCAGACATCAGGATTTCAGCTGCACGTCCCAGGCAGGGCAGTTGCGGAAGGAAATGCCCCTGTTTGGGTGGAACTCGTCATCTACCCAAATATAATCACCCTGCTGCGAAATGGAAACCAATGCATCAGTTTTAGAAAGAGGAAGAAAAGCCGCAAGGATGGAAAGGAAAGGAAGTGGAGAGATGCTGCACGAAGGGCCTGCGGCCAGTCCTGCGGCGACAGCCTGGGCAGTGGGGTGGCCAAGCTGGAGCTCAAGCTGGGGGGAAGCTCAGCTCCATCCCTGCCCCACCACAGGCCAGAGGAGCTCCTCTGGGTGCCACTTGCACAACCCAACCCTCATTATCTGCAAGAAGGTCTGGTACTGAATGGGGAGCAGGAGCTTGGGGGGAGCCGCTGCCTGGACCAGCTGCAGCGATGCAGCTGTGCTCCCAGTTTTCCACTGAACCCCACCTTGGTCACACCTGGGATAAAAAAGCCAGAGGAGGAGGAAGTGGAGGAGGAAGCCCCACATCAGCCCAACCACTCTGTCCCAGCGAGCACCATCCCAGAGCTGACTCCCACCCACCCAGCTGCAGCCCTTGGTGCTGTAGGGCAGCTGCAGACCATGTCCAGATCACTCCTGCTTCCCCCTTCTCTGTATGTCTCACCTTCCCCTCTTTCCCCTAAACCAGCTTGGTGCTGCAGACCCCAACAGAGCCCAGGGCTGGGCCCAGGCACCTGCACCCCTGGGAGCTGTCAGGGACCCAGCACTTCGCTCTCAGCAAAAACACAGCCCAAGGGCTGAGCTGACACCCCCTGAGCACCCAGGCGGCTGCAGCCATCGCAGTGTCCCTCCTTAGCTCGGCCGAGGGGGAACACCAGGACATGCAGCCTCCAGACCCTCCAGGAATGTGAAATGGGCTCTGCAAAGACCAAGAAAAGATCAAAGCTCCCATGCTGGTTTTGTCCCGTTTTGATGTTGGAGGCCCTGCTCAGCTTGTGTGCTCCAGCACCTCTCTGCAGCAGCTATTTGTGGTGAAGACCCCTCCAATCCTAAACCCTCCTGCCAAGCGGGGTGCATGGGGTCCCGTGTCCCATTCCTGCAGCTGCCCACCCTCCCCGGTATGCTTTGGTCGTGCCAGTTTGCAAAACATGTCTCAGCAGCTTGTGACCAGCAGCAGAAAACCCCCAGCCCCGAGGCGAAGCCCAGCCAGCTAAAAATAACCCGGCAGCAGAGCAACGCGCTCCGCCGCCGCCTCTTGCGGAGACAAAAAAGCACCGAAAGAAGCCAAAAGTGCACTTCAGCTCAGCGTCCCCCGGCTTGCATTGGGAGGCTGATGCTCGTGGATCTCCAGAGCAAAGCAGGACCATGGGGATATCACCAGGCTGGGTCTGGCTCCTTCTCCCAGGTGAGGACAGGTTCTGGCCATGCCAGTGATGCTCCAGCTCCTGCTGGTACCAAGGGGCTGGGGCTGCTGAGCCCCCCCCAGTGACATGGGCTTCACGTCGGGCGCTGGTGGAGCTGAAGCCTCCCATCGCTGCAGCCTCTTGTCTGGGGCTAAAAGCTGGCAGATGGGGTGTCCCGTCAAAGTGCTTTTTCCCAAAGGGAGCCAAGAAGGAGGGGCTGGGAGGAAGGCTGACTTTGCAGCTCTGTTTATCTCCTGGTGTCACTGTGGGTCTCTTTGCAGTTTGCCAGGCTCTGGTTGTCCCCGCGGAGGTCAGTGGCCGGGTGGGAGAGACGCTCTCCATCCGCTGCTGGTACCCCCGGGGCTACGAGAGCTACAACAAGTACTGGTGCCGGGGGGGCAGCCGGGACTCCTGCCACAAGGTGGTGGAGACCAAGGGCAGGGAAGTGCCCTGGCAGCACGGCCGGTTCTCCGTCAGTGACAACCATGTCTTCTGCGTGGTCCTGCTCACCGTGAAAAACATCCTCGAGGTGGATGCTGGGAGCTACTGGTGTGGGATTGAGAGGACAGGCAGGGACCTGATGGAGGTGGTGACAGTGAGGGTGGCCCCAGGTAAGCCCTGGTGTCTGGCTGGCTGGAGGTTTTGCTGGTCGGGACCAGGTTTTGGAGGGATTTTGGGCCAGCAGTGACCTGGGAGGAAGCAGCAATGCAGGATAGAGCCCCTGGGCTCTGAAGCAGTTATACCACTCAATATAAACCAGTGGCAGAGAATGGGAGGAGGGGTGATGGGCTGCTTTCTTCAGGGGACAATCGCAGATGCAGGCAGAGTGTGCTAGAGCTCAACACAGGGTCCAGCCCCAGGCTGGTTTTGGGGCTCAGGGAACCCACCACCACACAGGCAGGACGGTGGAGCCATTGGCTACACACAGCAGTGAGCACCAATGCTGAGCCACAGCTCTGAGGCCAGGGAGAGCCCACCAAACCCAGCCTCTGACAGCAAAATGATAGAATGTTTGAGGTGCTCGACCGGGAAAAGGGGTAGATCCAACCCCACTGGCCTTGGGGAATCCTCTGGTTCACTGCAGGTGGAGAGGTGTCTCAGGATGGAGAGACACAGCCCAGAGAGGTGAGGGGGAGGTGAGGGGGAGGCAAGGGGGAGGCAAGGGGGAGGCAAGGGGGAGTCAAGTGGTCAGGCAGGGCGAGTCCCACAAGGACGCTGGCAGGACAGAGGCTGGAGGGGACACGAGCAAGTATTTTGCAGTGGGGGACCCACGGTCGCTTCCAGCCTCCAGTTTCCACCAGGACCTTCTTTTATGCAGCTGCACTGACTACCCCAGCAGCTCCCCAGACCGCCACCACCCTCTGGATCTCCACCACTTTGATGGAGCATCCCCCTGACAACAACACCACCACCACGGGGTGAGTCCGGGGCACGGGGAAGGGCAGTGGGCTCTCACCCGCCACAGGCAGCAGTGGGTGCCCCTGACATGGGGATGAAGACAAAGGATCTTCATCCATCAGCCTGGGAATTTGGGGGTGATGCAGTGGCAAAGACCGAGGTGGGATCCCAGATTGTTGTCCTGCTTTGCCTCCCACCCCACGGCTGGCTGCGGAGGGGTTGCGGGAGGGCACTAGCAGGCAGGGCACTGCAAAGCCTTGGGAGGGAGAGAACCAGCCCTGCTCCTCTCCCCTCAGCTCCAGCCCCGTGGGACCAGCTCTGAGCACCCTGGTGCCCGTCGTGGTCCTGCTCTCCCTCCTGGCTGTTGCTGGCTCCGCCGGGCTCCTCTACACCCTGCACAGGAGGAGGGAAGGTGGTGGTACCCACCCGTGCACATCCCTGTGCCTGTCCCGGGACCTGGAGGACAAACTCACCATGAGCACAGAGCAGCAGGAAGCTTTCCCCTCCCAGCAACGCAGAAACTCTTCCCCCGTGTCTCTTCCTTCTGGCATGATGACCCCTCGCACCGGTGCCCCCGTAGCCCCCCACAAGCCGGAGTATGGCCCCATCTATGACAACATGCTTGACCTGGCAGAGGTAAGAACCCTGGTGTGGGCAGCGTGGGCAGTGCAGGCAGCGTGGGCAGGGGCCATGCAATGTGGCTGCTCACCCTGGGCAGCCCCCACACTGCCCAGCTGTGCCCAGGGCTGTGGGGACACACGACTGTCCCCTTGCCAGGGTGACTGCAGTGACATGGAGCAGGACCCCGAGCTGGAGGACCCTGGTGTCTACGCAAACACCCTGTGCCTGGAGGAGGGGATGGGGATGCCTGGCAGACATTTCCCAGGAGAAGAGGTTTCCTACATGTCCTAGCAGAGCACCCCTGATGGACAGAAGGTCCCTGTGGGGCCACCGCCGGGGATGTCCTTGCTGCAGCAGAGGAGGTGAAGGAGCCTTGCAGGAGGTGGCTGCTGCTGTCCCGTCACCGTCTGGGCGGTGTGACAGCCTCTGCCCATGATGCTGGAGCCCAAGGCCATGCTGGCACCACCCCCTGGCCTGCAGGACCCTGAGACACCCCTGCGTTGCTTTGGCAGATTGACCCGTGCCTCTCGGCTGGCAAGAAACCCCATCCTGGTTGCTGCACAGGCTGAAGAGCAGGATGTTTTGCCGGCTCGACAGCAAACGGATTGTTTTGGGTTCAGATAAATCCAATAAAGAAATTCCTCTGCAGGGGCTCAGTCTGGAGGGGAAAGGGGGACAATCTAGTGTGCCCACAGAGCCACTCTGCTGCTGCTGTCCCCTTTGGGAGTCCCCGGGGTGCCTGGGTACCGCTGGGGCTGCATTAGGAGGGGGCAATGGGAGCTGACACTCAAAGCAAGGAAGATGAGAGCGGCTGGAGCCCTGAATGCCCAGCCTTTCCAAGAATGCTTATCAGCAGAAGGCAGGTTTGCAATCTCCTGTCACTTCTTGAATTTAGATCTCGCTGCTCTCTGCAGCGGTTCAGCCCACAGCCGGTTCGCTGGGAGTTCGATGGGTTAGAAGTAAAACCCAGAGCTTCCTCTTGCCGTGGTGGGGGAACATGGGGGATAGGGAGGGGATGGGATCGGGGGAAGGAGCAGCCTCAGCCTCTGGCCAGGCCAGGGGTTTGTGATTTCTGCTCTTTCCAAGGGGCATCAAGGAAGGAAGCCGTCAGCAAGGCAGATGCCAGGGAAGCAGCTTTACTCTTTGGGTTTTCTACAACTTTCAGTGGAAACATTTCATTTCGGGAGAAAAAACAGTGTTATCACTCAAAACTCATCACTGTGCCAAAAAAAAAGGGCGGTTTGGGGGGGGAAATGAGGCACTTCTGCTTGGGAAAACAAACAAAAGCAGCCCAGCTCGCACTGGCAGCTGGCTTGGGAGCCGGGGAGCAGCGGTGCAATGGGGATGGTTGTCCATCATCCCAGTCCATCACCACTGGGAGAGCATCCTGGTGGTCCCAACCGGTCCATCCGCAGGGGCTGACCTGCATTCACTCTACCCTGGTCCCCAGCCCTCTGCTCTGGCCCACCCCCC